TGGTAGCCCAGGCTGGCCTCGAACTCACAGAGATCCGCCTGGCTCTGCCTCCCGAGTGCTGGGATTAAAGGCGTGCGCCACCAACGCCCGGCTAGTTTCAGTGTTTCTTAAAGGGGAGGACATCAGTTATTAATGAAGCAGCTGTGTTTTCAGGGACTGACAATGCTAAAGGGGAGGACATCAGATATTGATGAAACAGCTGTGTTTTCAGGGACTGTCATGCACACCGCCAGGCATTTGATACACTTGTCAACTGTATCCCTCACTTCCATTCACTGGGACAACAAAACATGCCTTCCTCCTTCTGGGGCCGGGTGCACCTGCATGGAGCTAAAAAGAGTTGGTTTCCTGTAAGATTCCCTGAGCTGTAAACAGGTTGTCCCAGGAGCCTATAAAGCAGTGGGCTTGCCTGTAATCCACTGAGATGATAGACAGAGACTACATGCACAATGGCAAAGTATTGTGATTCGGGTGATTCCCAACTGCCTGGCCTCTTGGAAACCACTAGACATCACAGCTCACCTTGGCCTTCCCAGGATCCCTGTAGGATTCTGGAGTATGTGCAAGCTACAGCTCAGAGATGAGAAGATAAGGAAAGCCAGTGAAGTCATATGTCAGTGGTAGAACCAGATCTGGAAGCCTCTGCAATCTGACTTCAGACTCCTCCTAATCACTGGGTCATGCTACTCCATGTATTGTACGATGAGCACTTGACCTGGAGGCAAGGTTGGTACTAGTTACACAACCTTGAGCAAGGTGATTCTCCTCTTTCAGTCAATGGTTTAAAAAGAAGTGCTACCCACAGGGAGGGTGGGAAGATGACGTGGAAATGAGGTCATCCTCACCTAATTGCTGCTCAGGAGAAAGTCTCTGAACTGAGACTGGGGAGTATAGAACATACATGTGCTAGCTGATGAATGAAGCTGCTGTTTCCCCTCCTGTTCACTGTCTCCTGCCTGTCTACCATAGTCCCACTATGAGAAGAGAACAGCAGAGATTCAGAACAGCAGTGCTTTAGAGATATGCTCATGTGACACCTATCGCTCTAACCCATTTCTTCCTCCACTCCCCAAGCCAGGTCTCTCTATGTAGCCATGACTGTCCTGGAACTCACTGTGTAGGCCTGCTTCAGCCTTCTGAGTGCTGAGGTTAAAGGTGTGCACCACCACGCCTTGCTAGTCTATTCTTTATAGCTGCTACAGAATACACCAAAATCCTTCTCTAGGCTGTTTCCATTATATAAACAACGTCACACATGTTGTTTGTACACATTACTTGTGGACTATACTTTCCCAGGGAGGATACTGAGAAGAGGAATTACTGGGTCAAAAACTATGTATACTGCGATGGTTAATGTTGATTTTCAATTTGATATGATCTAGTATCAGCTGGGACAAAAACCTCTGGGCATGTCTCTTAGAAAGTCTCTAGACTCAGCTAACTGAGGTGGGAAATTCCATCCTCAGTGTGCACTGGTATGTGTTCTCCCAGACAATCAGCAATGCTGAGCCTGTCTATACATTTATTTGTTGGTCTTTTGTGTATCAGTTTTGCCCTTGAATTTGACACCTGGCTACGGTGATCTTGAACTCCTGATCTTCCTGCCTCCACCTCCCAAGTGCTAGAAGTACAGGTGTGTGCCACCACACCTGGTTATATAGTCCTGGAATTATAAGCATGCACCACTGTGGTTGGCTGAGAGTCAGCTTTTTTATTTAAAGTAAAGTAAAACTAAGTAAATAAAAATGTAGTTTCTCTGGTACATAAGTCACATTTCAAGGTCTCAGTAGCCATGAATGATCATTGTTTACGGATTGCACAGCATAGGATTAAAATTATATTGATCTAACTGCTTATGCCAGCAACACAAGAACGCCAGTTTCCCCTCCTCTTCACTAGCATTTGTTATTATATAGCTCTCTCTGTACTTCTCTGTTATGTTATTATCATCGTAGCTAAATGGTTGTCTTTGCAAATATGTATGTAATGCCAATCGCTCCCGCAGAAAGTCAAGGGCAACGGCTTACACCTATATTCACTGTAACATTCCTGTGTCTAGAACAAAGCCCTGTGTGAGGTAGCTGCTCAATAAACAGATGTTGAACAGCTGGCTTTCTGCAAGTGAGGAGATTTGCAAGGGACTTTCTCTGTGCCATCTCCTTTGCAACAAAGATATCCGTTGATTTTATAAAAGGTTGTCATTAAGTCAGGGAGGTTATTACTGCAAAGGGCTAGAGCGATAGGCAACTGAAAAAGCATTGGGGCAAATGATGAATCACAATGACTCCTTAGGAAAGTGGGTTCTCCTCTGCCCTTTGAGATTGACCTCCAGTTTGGCACACACATCCTCGCCCTCCTTTGGGGATCTTCCTGGATCCCAGTGGCCATCTGAATCCCCATTCCTCCTTCCCTAAACACCCCTGACCTGTGACTAAGCTCTGCCCATTGTTGTGTAGATGGAATGTGGTGTGGTGAGAGCCTCAGACAAAGCCAAATGAGAAAATTCACCGAGTTTCTAAGAGGCTTTCCCAGTCGCTTTCCCCCTCCCAGCTACATGAAATGTCCACCAGATCCTTGGACCCAGAGTGGCTGACATGAGGCGAACTTGGGACTAGAAGTCAGAACTTAGATGGTGAAGCAGGATCATAGATTTCTCCACTGGTTTTAAGTCCCTTGTGATGTGAGACAACACAGTCTCCTCTCTTACTTTGAAAAGTTGTACTTCACGTAGTCAATCTTCAGGAACTCGAGAGACTCAGAACCTTTCAGATCTGGGATGACAATTTCCTTTGCCATGTCCTCCATCACCTTCGTCCCAACTTGAACACCTGTGAGGGAAGCAGGAAGTGTCCGCTTGCACAAGGAAGACAACAGTGACGTAATACGCCTAACCCTACAGATGCAAGCACTGAGTAAGCCCTGATGCTAAGTAAGAAAACCGCACCCCTACAAAGGGGATATTGTTGTCTCCGCTTCACATGAGGAAACTCTAGTCCTCCGAGAGGTGGAGGAACTTGCCTGAGAGCACAGGGCTAACACGAGGAGGGGTTTTCATTGTGTGGCCAGGGTTGTCATGGAAACAATGAAAGATATTCTTCAAAGGACGCTACAGTTGTCGCCAGGCACATGCTGCACATGTGAACAAGATTAATTCTCGCCCAGGAAAGTGTGGGTTCTGGCGATCTATGAGCCAAATCCTAAGTGGCTCGGCTCCAGCATCTAGCTTACGGCCAGTTTCACAAAATTGTTTTCATTCTTCTGTCTTTCCAGATTATTTGAACTCAGATGTTTTAGGGAAGGGTTCACAAGGCTGAGGGACCCACGGAACCACTGAAAGACAGTGAGTGGATGTGTGCTTACTGCGTTTCATTTTTCAGTGGAAAGGAGTCACATCAGATTCTCCAAAGGATCCCCAAACTTAGAAGAAGTGACTAATCACTGCTTCTGATTTGTTCAGGAATAGCCCACTAATTTCTTTGTATGGAAGCATCCCAGGACACATTTCTCTGAGCTTGTGGTGTGTGTGGGGAGGTCTTGATAAAAGTAACTTCCAGGGCTGGCTAAATGGCTCAGCAGATAGAGAGGCTTGCTGCCAAGCTGTGGATATGAGTTTGATCCTCAGAATCCACACAGTAGAAGGAGTGAATAAATTGTCCTCTGGCCTTCTCATGTGCATTATGACACATAGACCAACACACACACACTAAATAATAAATGTAATAAAAACTTAAAGTAAATGAATGCAACTTTGCCTTTTTCCTTTACCTTGTGTTCATTCCAGTTGTCCTATCCTCACGGGAGAGGAGGAGCAGACCTCCTATAAAATGCTGTGGATACTGTTGTCATGGAGACAGAGTATGAAGGAAGTGAAGATAAAGGTAGCATTGAGCTTAGGCTTGAGCCCGGCACTGTCACTCACTAGCTTGTGTGACTCAGCCTCTGTGTCTCTCACTCCTTTCCCTCATCTGTGACATGGGAATGATAGTGACCAGGAAGGGATCTGTTCACACATGTGAGAAGAATAGTCACTAATATTTGCTAGGCATTTCGTTTCACCAGGTCCTGTTCCCAGTGCTTCATACACGTCAATTTGCTCATTTCCTGCAACGGCCGAGAGGTGGGTACCATTACGGCTATCTCCTCTTGGACACACCCCACAGATACTGCGAACAATGAGCACAGCAAATCATATTCTATAAAAATATGGAGGTGTATAGTTGATGGGGTTAAACCAGTAATAGTTAGTTTGTATGGAGTGCCTGTATGTGTCCAGACTGTCCTCTCTACCTAGGTTCTGTCCTTCAGGTCTCAAAACAATTCAGTGATAATGGCCTTGCCCCCACTTCACACATGAGGCAGCCTAGGCTCCCACAGCCTGTGAGTCAAGGCCCCCACAGCCAGTGAATATCATCAGGCAGGGATTTGAGGCACAAGGAACAGAAATATGACAATACATTGCAGGGTGAGGCAGAACTTACCTGTTTGGAAATATTTCTCCATTTTTGGTCGGGGAGGTCCCCAAGTTTTCCAAAACCATACAGACTATTGTTACTGCTCTAAGTGCTTACAGAACTAGATAGTGAGACCCTGTTGCTGAAGACACTGCATGCCTTGGTCAGGACATAGAGAAACCAAGCTAAAACTTGGCGAGAAGCTTCCTCCCTGTTGGCTAGTGCCAGAAGGCGCTTCACAGGCTGCCAGGGTGAATTTCCACCAGTCTTACTGTGAATGCTGTGTGAAACAATACCAACCGATCAGGTAGGATTAGCCTACTGGTGCAATTGTAGCAACTCTGTTCTGGGGTAATCAACCCCTTTCTGATTGGATTTCCTACTTGGTTTACAAGGGGAAGTTCACATGTCATACTGTGAACCTGATCAAAACCCCATGGTTGGGACAGTTGTTTTGCTAAGTGGACATGACATGCCCATCAAACAATCTTCTAAACAGCTATGTCTATTCACATAGATTAGTACTGCTGTCTAATTTCCAGCCTTGGTCAGAAAATCTTCTTTTTAAAATGGTAAGTGGTGACTTCAGACTCATAACTAGTCAAAGTACCGAGAATAAGAGACTGTTGAATGCCCAGCCATAAATGAGATATCTGTATCACCTCCCTCCAATGCTCAGGGAACATCACAAAAGAAGGGGAAGAATGGAAGAGGAGGGCCCCAGATGTGGTGTGGAGGGGAAGAATGGAATAGGAGGGCCCCAGATGTGGTGTGGAGGGGAAGAATGGAAGAGGAGGGCCCCAGATGTGGTGTGGAGGGGAAGAATGGAAGAGGAGGGCCCCAGATGTGGTGTGGAGGGGAAGAATGGAA